ATTTGAGCACCTCACTAAATCCATAGCAGAGGCAAGACACTTGGTTCTCTTCTCCTCCTCTCAGCACATCAGTAAAAGATTCTTCTTTTAACAACAAATGAATGTAAACCTTTTCCATCAATCATTTTCCAGTTGCCTGTGTGAAAATGACAGCCAGAGCCAGGCACACTCCTTTCCACCCTGCTTGTTTCCTGACAGGCGCTGTGCTCACGCGGCCTTTGAAGCCTCGGATAGGAAGAAGAGACAGCTCAAGTAGTCAACACGCAACAGCCCCTACAGATTACGTATGAATAGCTAAAAAAACAAACAAAAAAGGCAACTTACAGCCCTCCTGCTCTGAAACTGTGTTCAGAACGAAGCAAAAGTTACAGCGGTGACAATTGTTTTCCTTTTCTCTCTCTTTTGCCTTTGTTTTCAGAAGCGTTAAGGCAGCCGGCAGCAGTGAGAGCAGGGAAGCACAACAAAGAGCCAGGCAAACCTACATGGGCTGCATTAAACAGACGGAATAAATACGTGCTTGATGTCACAGGAGTAAAAATATACCCTGCTGAGTCTCCTGGAAATGCTGGGATAAAGAGAACAAGAGGTGACACAATACACTGAGGAAAGTATCATGCTTGTCTGCTCCTCAGCAGAAATGCAAACTATCAAGAAGTTTGTATCTCCAAAATTTTCTCTGTGCAGCTCAATCTTATCTTTGTGGTGAGGGACAAACATAATGTCTATGCACCACTTAATCTCATCCAAATCTGTTACGTTGGCCGGTTGTAAAGGGGCAAATTTGTCCGTAGGGCATTAAACGAATCCCTCCAAGGAGCAGCACCTGTAATTAAGCACAGGCACGAAGGTGATCCCTGTTTTCTCCCTGGTCTTTCCCTAACCAGAGTCTTCACAGCCGTGTGGAAAACTCTATCACCTTATGACCACCATTCCCTACAGCACACAGAAAACCTACAGTACCTCCACTGTTGTTAATCTGTCCATTTGTGACAGTTTTCCATCACTGGCAAGGACCAGAGCATCTCAAATGGAAGAACTCAGCCAATTGTGCTCAGCTGGCTCTTGAGCACTGTTACAGATACCTGGAGTTCCCCATCCTTCACAGCCCTCTCCACTTCCACAGTCTTTCACTGTTTTCCTGTGTCAGCTCACCTGTGTGGACATCAAAAGCAACCACAACAGAACAACCCAAGGAAGTGGCTCTGAAGTGACTACTCATAGCAATTCCATCATGAGATCTTCAAATGAGAGCAGTCAGTCTTACAAGTGTGCTGTTTTTTTTTTTTTTCCTAATCGTTGCTGCAACAAGTTTCTAACAGTCCACACAAGAAAAAAAATTAATGTCTTCTCTTTCACTGTTTGCTACAATCTGAACAGAGGATTTTATCAGAAAAAAAGTGAAAACAAAAATACTGGGATAGGGAAGGACCTACTTGATCCGTATCTAGTGATTGGTAACTTCGTGCACTGCAGATGGTCCAAATAATAGTGAGGTGGAGCAGATTGCATCAGTGATGGGAATGTGTAGTAGGCGACTGCCTAACGCCATTTTGCTGTTCATCATATTGGTGAATACATGCAGTTATTTGGTCCTGGCCTGGTTAGGGTCAGTAGCGTAGAGGGCAATGCAACAGGAATGGGAGCAAAAAGCTGAGCATACTACAAAACACAGCACTGATTTTATGCCATCAGGAAGCACATGAAGCACTGGATGCAGGGCTGTTCCATGGCCTGGATGCTGCTGCACAAGGAACACAGAAAGGCTGACACCCTGCTATCTGCTGCACCTGATGCAGCATGAGGCTTGAGCATTAAACCTGGAAGAAGACCATGGTCTTACAAGAAATAATATAAAATAATGATGGGATTATATTTTACATGGGAATAATGGTAATTTTACTCTGGGGACCTTCTAAGACACTGTTAGTAACTTTTTATTTCCTCTTTTACTTCTCAATGGCAAACATAGTAAACAGGTGCTGAGTAAAATGCATGTACAGATGTCGCCTAAATGACCGTGTTGTTTTCAATTATTCCTCTGTACTGCAGCCACTGCTCTCTCAGCACCTGTTTTTCTTCTCAGAGCAGGGCCTAACAGGAAGCCAAGAGACAGGGGAGGCTTGTGGGGTTTTTTTTGTCAGAAAAAAACGCTGAAAATCCAAAATAGTAGCACTGTGTAAATAAACAACTGAAGCAGATGTGCCCACTTAATCTGTTCTCAGAAAAGGACACCGGCGACCATCATCACTTCTGTGTGCTGTGCTGTCACTCACTCAGCCACTGTAGGTTTGGGGTGGGTTTTTTTTGGTTTTTTTTTTGGTTTGCACATTTTCATTTCCAGCCTGACTGTGCTGCAGCCCCGGACTGCCAGCAAGAACAGCCCACAGACAGCCCCACAGTGCTGCTCCCATAAGCTGGCCGTCAGCATTCAGCAATTAGATGCATTAATTCTGCCCTTGACATGCTCAGTCGTGCCAGACACGGCTCAAAGATACCTCGCTAAGATACATGTATCAGGTAAAAAAAAAACCAAACAAAAACAACCCTGAAATTACCTCAGCAGTAAGTTCTGAGAGGTCTGATCTGGACAGGTGGCTTCTACCATGTGCTTACACCAACAAATTCCAAAAAGCTAAAAGAATAAATAAAACTAAAAACAGCCTCAGGTAGGCTCTCTCTGTCTTGCAGCTACAGGTCGAGCAGAGCGAATGTGCAGAGCTCTCCATCTCCCCTCGGGTGCCGCCCCACTGCCATCCCTACGATCCCCAGCACGTCCCACATGGCACCAACACAGCACTGCAGGTGGGAAGGACCCACAGCTGTGGGCAGGGACACCTCCCAGCTGGGCAGGTTGCCCAAAGCTTCGTGATGCACTCATCCCAAGAGGCACCAGGACCCAGCTCATGGTTTGCTGGGAAGCCATGGACAAAGGCCGCTTACCTCACAGGCGGCTGGGCACCCAGGGCAGGAGCCGGTCCTGGCAGCAGCAGGCGCACATTGCTGTGCAGCACCCACAGCTGCCGCCGTCACTCCGGCCCTCCCTGCTCACTCTGTAAATACTCACAGAGCAGGATAGCGGGCGTGGAAAGAGGGAAATGTGACGTGCACAGCAAGCCTCTGCCTTATGTGTGAGGAAGCAGCCTGACAGATCGAGTGCAAAGAACTGGGGACTCCCAGGAAAATTTTCTCCAAAGCCTGAACACATTTGAGGATAAAAACAGAAATGTATTTTTTAACATTAAGGTAAAACTGAGGCTGAGAGGCCTGAGCCTGCTATATCCCAGCAATCCATATGATTTCATTGGAAGCTATATTTCAGTAGATGTATCACTGAAAAACCCCCTCCCCATACTTGGTGGTACTGCTCACCACGCCGTCCTGCAAAGCCAGAAACAAATAAATAGCACTGACAGCATGTGGTTAACCAAACACACTAGGAAAGCACTACATGCTGACTTAGACATCTCACAGCTGGGAACAAGAAGCACCCCAGGAAAGCCAGTGCTCAGTGTGTAGGCAGCAATGAGCATTCTTCAGGTGCCTCCAAGCCGGCACCGGGAAGCCACGAGCAGGATATGAGCTGTCCTTAAGAAACCAACTCCCACTGCACCTTGCTTTCACCACCTGTCTCTGCCCACTCTTATCAAACACAAAGCCTCGACAGTGACATTACTCAGCGCTGATAAGCAATGCTAGATCTCACCCCTACCTGCGTCCCTACTTTGTAGAACAAAAGTGAAATGTCGTTACCTGCTCCAGCACCTGCCATGGAAGAGACCAACACGTTTTGCTTAAGAAAAGCCTCAAATGTGTAGCCAAGGCTTTAGTTTTCTGGGGTGGCATATTCACCCACAAAACTATTTGATCAAAGCAAGCCATTTGTTTGCCCAGGTACTTCTGTCATCTTCTATAGTTCATTTGTGAACTTCCTTTTTGTTTTTTTTTCCCCACAGAGAGTGTTACCAACAAAAACTTACAGCAAAATTCTCCATGCTGCAGGAGGCAATCTGCCTTTAAAATAAACCTGGTCAAAAAGATCACAGATCCAAATGTCAAAAAATTTTCTAAATACTGATAGCAACTCGTTAAGAGCATCTTATTTTAATAGCAAAAGTTTTTATTTCCACAGCCATAAGAGGAATCCAAAAACCACAGCACAAAGTTTTGCCATTTTGCCAGTCACTAAAACTACAATTAAAATCCCCTCTAAAACATGATCCAGCACATGAGAGATGACCTAGCGTAGCCCCTCTGACTCTCTCAAGCATTTTGGAATTTGACTTACTTTCAAATATTTTTAAATATAAATTCTAATATTGACATCACCTAAACTAATTCAAATTGGAATATTCATGCACATAATACAGCTTTTATTATTAATGTTTGTTTTACAAATGAATAAAAATTAGTTTAATACTCCTACTGCTGACAAATTATCTTCAATTAAAGTGTTGAGGTGCAGAATAATGAAAAAAGCTGTAGGTGGATGAGCTGAAAGTGAGAAAAATCTTGATATGCTGCTATTGCGCACCTATGTTTTCAAAATAAAGGGTCCATTTTCTCTGTGGGAAATACTGACCCAATCAAGTGATAGCTGTACTCTCCTGGAAACTTGCTAATTCCTGTAACAACAGCTAACAGCACTCACTTCAAGTCATATATGAATTATCATCTCAGAAACCATCCAGAATATGAATAAACAATTAGGATCTACCAGGTCATTGAGCTTTGTAGTACTGTATTATTTTCACAGAAGTAGAAATTGTGTACAAATAGTAAACACCATCAAAGCACACTTTATGCACATTAAAGGAAGTCATTACAACCCAATCCAGCAGGACAAGATGCCACCTCTGAGTTAAGGCAGCATCACAGAACCCCAGAGAAAGATTCCTAAAGGTTATTTGTAGGTTTCTTAAAAAAAGTTAGAAATCTAAATGGCAGTGAAAAAGAATCAAAGTATTCAACACTTGTATATGAGTATTTATTCTTCAGTGCTCATCTCCTATACATATTTACACATGGAATATTGCAATAAGGCAAATTTAAGGTGTTCTGCATATATGCAAGTCAGGAGGAGAAATAATACATCAGGGGTAAGAAATTGCTTCTCAGTTCACTCACAGATGCATAGCTGCGTAAGATGATTTCTTCATTTATGAGATTTCATAAAAACTAACTTGCAGATGCTACTCAAATCTAATGCACATTTGTGTTACCAATATACTCGGAGAAACTATTCTTTATTACATTTTAATGAAATATAGAATTCCAATGTAAATAACATTTCTCTGTGGGGGGGAAAAAAAGCCAACACTATTTATAAGACAGAAAACAATTTTTTATTCTTATAGAAAACAATATCAAAAGGGACAGTTCAAAGGAACCTGCAGGTAGAAAAGCCATAGAGACACAAACTGGACACAAGATTTGAAATACATATATACACAAATATACACAATGGTTTTCACCATGTTTCCAGATGAGTAGAAAATCATCTGTTGTTTCCGTCACTGCTTTTAGCTGCTACAGAACGCACTTACAGGAGGGCATTGCAGCATGTGGGGACATTCACACCACCCCACGCAGAGCATGCTGCTTCAAGCATTCAGGTTCTGGCCAAAGGAGAGCTCAAAGCAACCAGACACAAACACGGGTTGTGCTCCCCTCACACCAGTCCAAATCCATCCTCTGTTACAGTTTTACCTACAAGTAAGGCATAGTGGTTCCAGTACTACATTAAATACCGTTGAACAATTGGAAAAAAAATAATCATCACAAACTCTTTCCCAACAAGTACTTTATTAGGGAGGATAAAAAGCACTGTTCAGACAGTCCGAGTAGGTGCGGCATTCTGTGCCATCAGGCTCCTCCATCTCAAAGTCATCTGGATCTGGGGGCAGCTGGTCAGTATCTTCATCAGAGGTCGAAGGGCGCGTGAGGATTATTCGAGGTATCTTTAGGAAGAGGCAAAAGATTGCAGAGAAAATGAGTAAGATCAAGAGCAAGGAAGAGTTTAGAACTGGTGTTATGAAGGTACAGGTGATGAGCAAGAATATATGAGAGATGTAACACCACAAGCCTTTCCGAGGGGTGAACTGTTCTATGCCAAAAATCTGCAGTGATAGTTAAAGCAAAATTCAGATAAACTGCATTTTCTTCCCATTAGCTAGCTTCTAAAAAGCTTCTATAGAAAGGAAAATTTGTCTATTTTAAAACAATCTTTTATATAAGTATGAAAATATGAAAACTACACATACATATAACTTTATAAAATCTATACGCTTAAAAGCAATACAAATTAAAAATAATAAATGTTAATAATAAAAGCAGATAAAACAGTAAGTTCATGCACCTAACAGGCAAATAATAAACTGCCTCCCTTGCCAGTACTCAGAAAATTTTCAAGAAAGGCAGTAGTTCTTATGTATCTGCTAGCCCGTTCCATTTCTTCAGACCTTCTAAGAGTGCTTAATGTTGACACCATACAACTCAATTGTTGATGCATTATTTCCTTGCCATCCACCACTTGATTTGGGAAACGACACATGCACAGAGATCCACCACCTGCACACGGCCTGGCACCAGCTCACAGGCAGCTGCACCACACATAGGCACCACAACACCAACGTCAAGTCAGATTCAACGTATCATAAATGCAAACCAATTTTAAACCAGCCATATTTTTCTGTTACATTCCCATTTCTATTGAACGCTCTCATATCTCCTTTTTCTTTCTTTCCTTCCTTTCTTCCTTCTTTTGCTTAGACTAAGGAGGACACATTACTGGAAGCATTAAATAACCCTCTATAGATCAAAAGTACTGGGAAATTTTACTTCTGCCAATTTGCACAGCATTTACAAGATCTCCACCGACTGGACATTTCTCTTGATATGTTCATTGCTAAAAGATGTTTCCTCCTTAGTGACAGCCAGCTGCTTTGTGCTACAGCAAATGCATATCCTATATGGATAAGTATATATCCTATACGTACAGGTGGGTGTACTGGGTCATACTGCAGAATTCCACCACCTCAAAAAACAGAGATGAGGCCCATGCCTTATCTAAAGTTAGTTACAATGATAGACAGCACCAGCCTTTGTATTTCAATAAGAAAGCTTTTCTTTAAATATTCTGTCTCTTCTGAAACATGCTTCTTGCACACTACTTTCAAATACTACTATGGGACAAAGCTTTACACTCACAAAGTGGATTTGATTTATGTTTCTTCACAAAGAAAAGAGGAAAAAAAAAAACCAACAACCAGTGTCAGCAAGGCCTAACAAAAAATTTAAACTAGTAACATGAAGTTCTTGTGGGTATCCCACTCTACCACATCATACACATATACAGAGTTTTGATATAGCACCAAGATCCTTTGGAGACCGTTTTTTTAGGGCACTCTGACATACTCTTTATTTTAGAGATCATTCATTTGAGATACCATAAAAAATTGTCTTATTTTTCTTTTAGTTAACTAAATCTGAACGAAACATAAATCCAAGACTAACAGTATTGCCACTGGAGGAACAAATCCCACAGGATGTTCAAGTTCTGGCATGAAATCACCTTTTTCATCTCCCCATACGTTTGTTCAATACACTGCAAGCTGTATTTAGGCTTTCACAACTTCCCTGAAAACTTACCTCATTTCCTTAATAACACTCCTTTCACCCACAGTTGAAACATGTGGTCTGCAGACTGCACACCTGTAGAGCTCCTGTAGAGTTGAAGCTGAGCCCTTGGAAGGCATCCCATCCCCACCAACAGTGCAACAGACTACGATCTCCTGTTAGACATCCACCTGCCCACTGGTTCATGCTTGTGCAACACTGCTGTGGGACCTGTACTGACGGCATTCATTAAACAAGCAGCGTTGGAGGAAGTCTTCCATCTAATCTTTCATCCTGCTGTGTGTAAAAAGGAACTGGCACCAAATGACTGATCAACTTTCTATGGGGGAGGCTTCTCAGCCCAAAAAAGGCTGCAAGGGCTGGAAATCTGTGCTCCCCAGAGGAGAGAACAGAACTGGCTCATCGCTAATCCACTGCAACTCAAGTGAATCCTCCAAGCAGATGACAGCTCTCACATATACCCACCTAATGCTGTTTCAGAAACTCATCACCAAGTTTCAACAACAAACCAAATTTTCTGGTCCAAGCACAATCGTCTCCTCCATCTCTCTCTGCTTTCTGCATATCTCATCTCCTTTACTACTCTCTCTGAAACCTTTACCATTCCCAAACCCTAGCTGTTCTCTTCTCAGTGGCTAATTGATCTGATAGGATTTGGAGGAGCCCAGATTTCCTCACAACTACATCATTAGCACTAATGATCACCTGGCTGTGAGCAGTGACACCTATGAAATTGAAGACTGGAAGCAAACCCAGCTAAGAAACAGAGTTTGCTTTTTTCCAAGATTAGTTGCAGTGAAAGGAAACTCAAACCTCTACATCTAGCATCAAAAGCTGTTGATTCATGACCTTAAAAAAACAACAACAACAAAAACAAACAGATATAAGAAACCTCCCATCATACCAAAACCATCATATTGTAACCAGTGTGAGTTTTCCATCTTCTCCCAGCTGTTCCCTAGGAACCTACAGCTCTCCATCCCTACCTTCACATTCCCCCTGGCTGCAGCAAAATCATGATCTAAGCTTCATCTACTTCCTTTTTAATTCCAGTTCTGTTTTGTTTGTTTAAAAGCAAAACAAAATAAACAAACAGAAAAAAGCAGAGTAGGATAACTCAACAGCTAAATTTTCACTGTATTTCTTTGCCTTTCGTACAATTCTTTTTTCACACTCAGTGCTTCTCTTTCCAGAATCCCAGTAGGATTCCTTATGCGCTTGCTTTCAGGTTTCTGCATTTTATCTTCACTAATCACAGCTTCACCCTATTTAACTGGTAACTTTGCTTCTAGAGTTTTTTTGTTGTTTTGTGTTTTTTTTTTCCCAGACAGAACACATTTCACACACAAAAAAATGTCACAGTAAAGATGAAGCAAACTGTCTCCAGTGCCCATTACAGACAGTTCAAGACACAGATTTATAATGGGAACAAAGAAAACCTTTCCAGCATGGGCTGCTGAACTCTAAAGTCGCCTGCCTAAAGAAGGCGTGTAATTTTTATCTTCCACCAGTAATTCTTCAGAAAATGTTAATCTTGGTGTAGGAGGACAGTTTAAGCAGGATTCTGCAGTGTCCCATTGTTTTACCCCATTAGTTTTACCGAACAGTGCCTGAGCTTGCTCAAAATATTTCTGTTGAAATTGCAGAGTCCTCCTACTCACTTTCCATCATCAACTCACTATTAAGCAATTATCAATTCAAAACCATAGAAATAAGTGTTGGGTGATGGTTGTTGGTTTTTTGGTTTTTTTTTTTAAGAAAAAAAAAAAAAGTGTAATTAATTATTTTAAACCAATTACTGTTTTCCATTTCCCCCTTAAAAACATTTTCTGTGCATAAAAAGTGAATTTGAAAAGGGACACATTCTGCATCAAAACCAATGTATTCACTATAGGAATTTCTTTTGTTGCCGTGTTTGCATCTCTAAATAGCGCTTCACAACATAAACACTAGGACTTAAAACACTAAAAAGGGATGCATTCTATTTTTATTCATAATTGGTCATCGGTAAAAATCAAATTATTTCAAACACTAATTTTATGGATTATTATCCTCCACTGAAAGTTGGAGTCCTTCAACTGAAACACAGTCCACTACAACAAGCATTGAAACAAATCAGTCTAAATAAGTTGGGTCAATCAATCTGCAGTGTTGGTTGCAAAAACTAATTCATATTGACACTGGATAGGAATAAATATGCAACTGGCTATGATGTTTCAGTTGCAAGTATCTCCTTAAAGCTGAGAGCGATGGCACAAAGGCAGCCCTTGGAGAAAGCCAGAGTACACAAGGAAGATCCCAAATTTTGAAGAATAGGGATTGGAAAAGCACTTGGATTGGTCTTTTGGAAGAAAAATCAGACTTAGTTTTGACTCTAGTTCAAGCAGGTGACTATTTAATATTCCATAGCTAGAAAACATCTTTAATAGGTATGTATGCCTAATTCAGCTTCCCATATCTAAATAGTACATATACTAGAATTTTGATTGACACCAGTGCTAAGACTATTATTTGGACACTTCAGCTAGTGAAACGAGCAAAACAATCTACATGGTTGAGAGCATTTATAGGGGTTTATATAAACATGAATCATATTGTGATTTCATACTTCATTTTATTATTTTTTCATCACTGGTGACGGCAATAGTACTTCAGATTTCAACAAAAGGAAATTCAAGATTCTCACCAAACAATGAAAACTTGTCCTTGCTAGGTGCAAAAGACCGAAGTTGAAAACGACTGTATTTGCAAAAGGAACTGCCTAAATCAAGTTTCCTTCCTTGACCTGAGTGAAGGAGGGCATTCAGTCATGCCTTAACTATGTTGCATGCAGCTGGAACTTTCAATAACAAGTTTAAAAAGATGCCAAAGTATACCCAACAAGAATAGGAGAGAATGAACTGATCATTTTATCCAGGGTTCAGACAAAAGTGGTATCTCCTGTTCTTTTTAATAAAGTTTTGTCAATAAAGACAGGGACAGTACATAACAGCAGCCTTCTCCCCAAAAGAAAGCAGAGAGAAAATATAAGTTAGAGATGAAGAAAGAGGTTTAATGAAATTGTGGTATATTTGTTATGAAGAAGTAATTTCCCTTGGGCACTAGGCAAAGAAGGTAGAGTTCAGTCGAATTACTTGAAGTTTCCCAGAAAATCCTAGATATAAATGACATCATATCTGGTGAACTATATGAAAAAATATCTAAAGGAATTCATAGGACAAAGTTATACTAAGAATTAAACTGAACTACTAGATTGAAACATTTAAAGGATTTAATATAGTTCCAAGTATCCAAAGTACAGACATTTTTATGATGTCTACAGACCCAAAAACAGATCAGACAAGACGACATGATGACACACATCATTAGGTGCAAGAAGATGCTGAAACCTGTCAACAGTCTCCATTCAGTGTCAGATAAAGCTGACTGAAAAGCTTAGCCAGGGCTTGGATGAAAATATTTTGATGGAGAAAAGCTGTGCAGAACTAGTTCAATGTCTGAGTGGAAAGCAGGATATAGGTACTGTGGGAAGAAGACAGAAAAATTGAGAACTGAAAATAAACATCTCAGAATCAAGCAGTATTCCTTCTCTTAAAGTCAGCATGGGCACTACTGGCAATATTTGGTCATCTGTATCACTGATTTTTAATTTCTCAAAGTTAGACACCTCCCCTACAAAGACAGGCTGAGGGAGCTGGGCTTGTTCAGCCTGGAGAAAAGAAGGCTGCAGGATACAAAGGTGCAGCCTTTCAGAATCTAAAGGGAGCCCACAAACAGGAGGGGAATCAACTCTTTGAAAAGTTAGATAATGGCAGGACAAGGGGAAATGGCTTTAAGTTGCTGGAGGGAAGATTTAGGTTGGATGTCAGGGGGAAGTTCTTTACAGAGAGAGTGGTGAGGTGCTGGAACAGGCTGCCCAGAGAGGTTGTGGATGCCAGATTGGATGGGAGCCTGGGCAGCCTGGTCTAGTACTAAATGGAGAGGTTGGTGGCCCTGCCTGTGGCAGGGGGGTTGGAGATTCATGATCCTTGAGGTCCCTTCCAACCCAAGCCATTCTGTTATTCTGTAATAAACACACAGTATTTTACACACAGGCTGCGCATGTGGATAGTTGTAGTTCTAATCTGCTATATTTTGATGCACATTTGTATTTTAAGATTACTGTTTTAAAATCCAAAGACTCAGTTTAAGCTCGGTTAAAATATTTTTATTGCCATATTCACATACTAAAAAAAGTAAAATAAACAGATTCCATATTTTTGAGGTGTGATTAATGTAAGTGAATCAACTCTCAAAGCACAGAATGTCAAAAAGTGCCGAGCTGTAATTAAAGTTCTGGGGCTCTACTCTTCCATAAAACAATTGCAAGTTAAAACAAAGGCAATTCTGTTTTTCTCTTTGCAAAACAATGGCTCTGAGTGAAAGAAGTGTTCATTACCTGTCCAATGAATTACTGCTCGTTCATATAGTCATAAAATTCTTAAACCTGGCAGGCTTGTAGATTCTAACTTGGATTTGGCTGGACTAGTTAACAAGAAAATGAGCCTTTTAAAAGACCTTTAAGCAACTAAACCATGAAGAATAGAGAATAAACCTTAATGTGGCAGAGGCATCATCTTTCGTACTGTCAGAGTGGAAGGCTTGGAGATAGAATGGAAAATGGCAGCAAATGGCTACAGGGCCATGGCTGGCAAATGAGAGACAGCAGTATTACCACAGATAACATATGTGAAAAGGATGTTTGGGATGTTTATTAACATCCAATAAAAATAAATAGATGAAGACAGATTCCCTGCTGGAGGGCTGGAAGCAGTGATGATATGGAAGAGTGGGAGAAAGAAGAGAGGCACTGCAACAGCTCATCCAGCACACAGTTCAGCTGTTGCAGGAAAAATAACAGAAGCCCTTGACTTCTTTATCACTGTGATTTTCTCCTATCATTCCTTGGAGTAAGTGCACTCAGTTTCTCTTGAAACATAGAAATACAAAGGAAACGAACTTTCCTTGATTCCTAGAGAAGGAAAAGGTTCTGTCATGTTTTAATGATCTACTGCCATTTGTTTATCTGAATGTGCAAAGCGTGTTTTCCATAAGCAGCAAGCACTGTAAACACCTTTCAGATGACAGTTACTTAGGACAAAGATGAATTTCACCAGAGTAAAGCCAGAGGAAGATGAGACACTGACCAGTTCCCTGATGTCAGCAGGATGCTCCTGAAAAGCCCGTAATCCGTAAGACTGACGTGTCCTGCTCTAGGCTAAAAGGCAGTCATATACACAATTTTGCTACAGCACAAAGATGTTGATAAAAAACAGAAACACCAACTTTTCTCCAAAGAAGAATTTACACACTCGCTCATTTTGACAGCCGAAACATCTTCAGCCAGTTGGCTGCCTGTGGGCGCTTTGCTCTGAGATACTACCATAGTCTTGTCTGCTTGCTCCTCCCTTTGCTGCTGAAGGGCTCTGGGGAGAGGCAGGAAAACCTGCTGCATTGTTTTACCAAGAGGAACACAAGAAAAAAAAAGCAACTGCTACAAAAGATTCAGGCCACTAGCACTGTATGAATCAGCCCTACCAACATCGATTGCCCTAACTGGAAGCCTCATGTTTCCTGCCATGTGGGTTAAGACCATACAGAAACGGCTATCAAGTACAGCTGGATAGAAAAAAAAAAAAAAAAAAAAAAAGAAAAAAAAGAAACTGATGTAAGCATTCTCAATTGGAAAATAAAACTGGTCTAAATGTTTCACAAGATGATGTTGAATCAGAAGCTGCAAATAAAAAATTTCTTTAAGCAACTAAGTAAAGAAGCAATCTTTATTAGTGCATCTTAAAGACAAAACACGAAAACATAGACAGGACAAAACATCTTTGATTGGAGTCTTTTATATAACATGAACTTTCGTTTCTCACCATTAGCTGAGTTGTGGGTGGTATTGCTAGAAAAGGACAAAAAAGGCTAGGAGAAGAGGAATCAAGCAAAGCATTCCTCTGGCATTTGCTGCAAGAGACAGTTGCTGCTGCCTGAGACTTCAGTCTCAGTACAAGTGGGACGCTTTTTGACCTTATAATTCAAATATCTTCATCCTATTCCATCTTCCTAGTAAAGCTTGAATTTCAGATGTGCAGGCAGATGACTGAGTGCAGTAGGTCTTTAGATAGCTTAACTTTTTACTGAATCACATAAAAATGGATCAGAATTCTAAAAAACACTTTGGAGGCTCAGCCATTTCCTTTAGAGATGTTTAAGGTAGGGGCAATGTTGTCTGACACTAGCTAAAATATGGGCAAGCAGTCTTAGCCTGCAATGTAAGCTCTCCTTAAAGCAAAAGCATAAAAAATGAGCACCTGTAGATAGCAGCTCAACCTCTCCTTTCTAAAAGAGGAGCCCTGGGGATGATGCTCTTTCCATCAGATAGAATCCTGGCAACAAATTAAGGCGAAGGGAACAGACATCACTATTAGAGCTTCTAAACCACAGTGGTTCATATGGTCTGATCTGCTATGCTGGTGCTTGACCAGGAGCTGAGCACTTCCAGAAGTTGAATTCTGGCTGCATTGACAACCAGCAGGGACACATGGCAGGGTCACTGATCACGGGTACGCGCTCTCCTCTGACTCAGCTTGTCAAAAGTTTTGTGCCAGTCTTTACTATCTTTACTAGACAGAATTAATGACAGACAAGATGCAGTTGTTTAGCAGGATTTGTTAGTTGCTGTGGTCACTGTACTTACTGTTATGACATGGTTTAATGGCTGGAAGGGGCTGCCTTTAGACGAAGCTTCAGTAGGACCAGCATCATGTGTGTTGGGTTCTGAAATTAGGGATCCCTTTAAAAACAAAGCAACAGAAATGCAATTATTCCAAACGCTGTTCAAGGAAAGCAAGACCCTCCCTCTCAGGTGACTCTACAAACACCTAACCCTTTTGTTATATACGGCTGCACAACAAAAGCAAATAAATTTGCAATTCTTGTTCCCATTCTGCTGAACACACTGTATAACTGAACTGCTGAAATGGCCAGTTCAAGAATAAGAATGTATAACACAACATATCATCATCAAAATACCAGACTCCTGCAGTTCACCTGAATTAATTAATTCTTTCTTATCTCCCACATACACCAAGTCAGGTCTTTAAATAGATGAATGATTCTGCCATCTTGTGGGAGACAGAGAAAACAACTATTTGTAGGATAGCTGACTGAACAGTATGGAATGTATTTCTCCTTTTTTTTTTTTTTAACCTCTGTAATTAACAGACATTAGTAGATAGTATATTTCAATGACTCCAAAAATAATTATGAATTACAACCTCACAGAGGAACATGAGCAAATCTGTTGATTTTTAGGATATCTATCAAAAACTGCTCAGAAGTTAAAGGTACAATAACTAGAAATCTTGACTTTTTCCTTACGATCTGTTGATGTTAAATGAATAATGAATTACTTCATTTCTCCCTCATCTTGTTTAAAATAATAATAAAAATAGATATGAATAATCCATTTTTAAAAAGGAAAAGGCAAAATGATCCAGAATTTTACCAGGATGTGAGGGTCAAACTCAAAATCTACCTTTCCCAGCTGGTGAAAATCAAAGAGCAGGCAAGAGTGCAGAAAAAATGTGATCAGAAAAGATGGGGAGTGGAGCTGCCAGAGAGATACATTTATTACTTGGCACTGTATGCCTTCTCCAACAGTGGAGTTACTTTGAGCTGTTCTCTCCTGTCCAAAAATTACCTTGGAGAAGCAAGCAGACATAGTTTGTACTTATTTGTAAGACCAGCAATAAGCTCATCTAATATAACTAATGCAATGCCAAAAGAAAGTTTCTAAATACAATTGTGTTTGTGCTTACCAAGGCCACTAATCTCCTTTACAAATCAGCCATTGAAGTGAATATTTTATTTAGCACATTGAACACAACAATCAGAAAACCAGAATGTAATAAAAAGGAATATCAACAACAGATGTAAGTCACTCTGAAAGTAATGCCTTCTATTAGTTTCCATGGAAACTACAAGAGATACAAAAGAATACAATAACACTATTTGATAGAGCAAATTCTCAGCTACAAAACACTATTTTTCAACATTGTCACCACCATCAGCTATGCAATTTCTCCAGTGATGAATAAGAGCCTTCACGTTGCATTCATAAAAGTCTGCACAAAGGAAGGTGACCCACAGTTGCACAGCTGTAATGATGGCATTGTTGCTGGGAAAATGTTACCCAGACAGTTCATCTTTCATTGGCCTGGACAGATGGAAGCCAGAAGGCACCAAATCCGGACTATACAGTAATACAGTCCAGCCAAGATTAGCAATGTGCTGCACAGTCTTCAAATGGGGTCTGGTGTTATCAGGCTGCAAGAGAAAGGTTGTCTTTTTCTCTTGCCTGACTCTGAAAGCTTGATCCTTCAGCTTAGTTAGCACCATGATGCAGTGGTCAGAGTTGATGGTCTGAGTTCCAGGAAATCCAGAAGGATCAATCCTTTCTATTGCAAAAGACAGCAGATATCCTTTGCTTCCCCTGCCAAGTGCTACGTCTTGCACTTATTCTTTAACAGGAAATTATCATCTTCAGCCTCATATTGGTTCAGTAGTTCCTGACAAACTTGCATACAGTGTTCTTTCTATTCCTGTGTGAGCATTCATGGGATCCACCTATTGCAAACTGCAATATTCCAATGTTGCCGCCATAATTTCCAACATACTGAAGCCAATATCCAGCTCTGTATACAGTTCCCTGATCAAAATCTGCCAGATAAGTTGATAAAGGATGTTCATTTTGTGGTGTGACAGCTCTGCATGGCCATCCAGAACATGGCTTGTCTTTCACATCATTGCTGTCACTGTTGAAATGCACCACCCATCACCTCACTGTGCCCACATCCCTATTTCATCTCCATAAACATTCAGTAATAGTTGATGCATGTCAGTGGGTGCAAAGTTTCCCATGTGGAGGAATTCAGTGACACACCTTTGCTTCATATGCACTTCCATGTCTGATGCCTTTTTGTCAGAGTGCCCCTCTGCTGCCATCTGTCACGTGGCAACAAACTGTAACAGAACATTGGCAGGAAGGTTCAGTCTTTACTGTCACCCCTCCAACATCCACCTCTGATGTTGTGGGCCAAGTAATAAAATAGGAGGCACTATTTTCAGAGTAGCCTTCATAATAATTTGGGAAGTATCCGAAAAGCTAAGCCTAAATCCAGATCTCCAGCTCCCCATATCTGATTGCTTTGAATTACAGCTTACAACAAAAGAACACACTCTACATTTACAAACAAAACAACTACCTCTGCCGCTCTTTCTCCCGCTTGCATCCCAGCCACATCTGCTGGACAATCTTTTGGTAGTCGTGTAATCAAAATTCCCTGGTAACAAAAGAACACATTTCAAACCTCTCACGGTTTCTTCTACTGTTCTTAGTTGTAACAAGCAAATGGGAAGCAATTAATTTTCATGTGTTGTTCTGCTGCCTCTATTAAAGTAGAAACTAGAGTCTTAGAGTATTAGCAGGCAAAAAGGCTTTCATGATTGACTGTACACACAACAATGCACAAAAGTCATTAATTGTTTACACCATGCCATGGGGGACAGACTAAGAAACAAGGATTTATTTAAATGATAATTGAGAAGATGCAAAAAACCAGTTCTCTTAAATCAAGTTAGCTCCTAGGAATGAGCAAATAATATGGCAGAGGCAAGCGGATTGCAAACAAAGTGACACAGGTAAAAAATGCCAATGGTGTTCCTGCCATGTGGTTGTCTTTGGAAAATCATTTTTTGGAAAATCAGGTTCTCTCTTCCAAAGTCACTCCTCCAGGAGCTTTCCCATCAAAATCAACTGTCAGCTGTTGCTTTGAGAAATAAGTCGCCCATGTTTCCCCTTGTCAATTCTAATACTAAGACAACCTCAGAGGACAACCTCGGAGAGCAAACAGCAAAACACATTATCTGAATAAATAAATAAATAAAAATAAACTGCTTATCAGTCTCTTTCTAACAAGTACTAGATAAATGTTGAGTAATGAAATGCACCTCATCATTGTCTTTATATGGAGATGAGCCCTTTCCACCAGCAATGCTAATACCAAGACTCCCCATTTGACTGCACACAGTAATGGTTATCTGGAAAAGAATTATAGTTGATAAGTGGCCGGATTAATAAAAACATTGCCTATTAATTACACAAGCAATGAAAATCTATTCTCAACACCAACAGTTTTACCCCATATAAAGCTTAGCCCAGAGAGAAATTGTGCTATTCTTCAATACCAGCACACCCAAAGCTAGTCTTTACTTTCCTATAACTACAAGAATGCATTATTCCTAAAATTCAGGTTTTCACATGCCAAAACTTTATAAGGCTGTTTACTGAATGCATTTTGTTTTGTCCACAGAGTTTTCAGACTGAAAACTCTTCACTCTATGGAGAACTGCAGACCGACTTAGCCCATAAAACCCACCAATTTACTGAGCGTTCATGATAGAAACAACACTAGCATACAGTAGGAGCAAAAAGTAAACATTTTTGTGTACATTTATGAAAAAAATATTCTTTGAATCATCCCTCATCTACAGTCTGAATTATTTACTCCACTCTTTTGAGAGAGTAATTGAATTTGAGCGCTATTGTTGTAGCTTCATCAAACAGACTTTCCATGTGTGTGTTGCTGGAACAGAAGACTCAACAGTAACCACTGACTTAAAATATCAATATTTAAATATTTTTTAAAGCAGCGTACATTGTAATCCATCAGCTACTCTCTGCTTATCCTGCCAGCATTGACAAAAATTCAGTACATCTGCTCAGTAACTTAGATGAATTTTTGAATTTGTATAATGTAAAGCAAAGGCCACATAAATTAGTTTCACATTCTAAAGACGGCTTATATTCAAGAATTATTCCCTTAAGTTGTCAATTTTTCTTTAATCTATAACAATTCTTGTTACTTAATAACATGAAAATTGCTAAAACCACTATCAGGCTAAACACAAGGAATACTTTGTTGCAGAGTAGCTGACCCTGAACTTAAATCACATTTCAATTCATCACATAAAAAAAATGATTTTACTTTCACTGATTTGGTTCATCTGTGTAAGACATTTCAGGCTTGAATAATTTCAGTATTTGATAGTCAAGAATATTTCAACACAGATGTGTTTTGAAAATTGACAAATGTGCAGTTACCCTTGCATACATAACATAGTCGTTTGACATTCCTGATTTTAAAAAGCCATGAAAATACCCTGTCAGTTAAACAAAAAACACTGCCAAATTTAGCCCAGATTTACCTGCACACTCAAGAATTCACTAGTAACTGTCAGCAATGCTTTGATGACAGGACATCAGCGTGGGTGTCCCACCACGTGGGCTGTCTTTTCTGCTGCTGTATCCCCAGCATCTTGGGCTGTAGCACAACTTTGCATTTCTACTACTGCCCCTTTCCAGAGCTCATCTGGCATGTTTCCTCCTCACATCCTCCTAATGAATGCTGAGATGTGATACACTCAGAATTTCTCCATAAATATCAGCCCAAACCTTCACAGCTTTCACTGTTAAGTCTCCTGCATACTGCTATCCACTCTCAAGGGATGGAAGCTTGTCATGAGGGTCGTGTCACTGCTCCCACATCATGCATGTGCAGGTGTAGCTGACTGTCCACCTGCATGTAACTTTGGCTTGACTTACAATGGACCAAAGCTGGGTGTACAACATGAGACAGTACTGAATGGCAGCTACAGAGGGCTGCTTGTTACCTTAAGCGGAGGCTGTGTCCCATCTGCAGCTCTGGATTCCTCCAGAAACCTGCTGCTCTCTCCAGGTAAGCTGCCTTCTGAGACAGGGGCCTGCGCCTTGCTGTTTGTCCCTGGAGCAGTTTTCCCCTTCGTTGCTGACTTGTGCCTGTCTTGAAGAGCTGCTCTGGAATTTCTTTTATCTTTTAAATGAACATCGTTATCAAAGAGGCTGCCAGAAAACTTGGAAATAGGTTCCTGGGGGTTAAAGATCAAACAGGTCAGCAAAGCAACAGCACAGAGTAGAGCTATGTGACACCCAAGTGCTACATGTAAATTGGGATTTCCTCCTTTCTATCGTATTATCATTTGCTTCACTGAAGCAAACCTCTAACTTGAAAGCAAATGCACACAAAGATATTTTTGTACAACTATTTCTGTGGGCATGATTTATCTCAATGTGGGGGTGGAAGTTACAGGGACAGGATTCACACAGCATTACCCTGATGTTCACAGGCACATAGACATTACACCCCTCCCCATCCCTACCCAGCAATGTCCTTCTCTATTTGAGCTCACAGTGGTGAAAGGGAAGGGGAGTCCCAGCTTTGTTCAGCTGCACTAGTGGAAAAAAAGAAGTAATTGGATTGACTTTATTGAGATACAAGTGGCAGTGGTTGGGGGACTGCAAAGTTGGCAGCAATCCTAGAGGGTCCGGTGGATGTGCAACCTCATAGGTGCAGCATTCCAAATGCAGCTTTGACTCCTGGTCGTAGAATGTAGCTACGTTGAGGTGCAGAACAGTGAACAGATGATGTCACGCTTTGCTAAACCATGAGGGTTTGAGAAGAGAAATACACAAGAAACATTTAGATGTCATACTGAGGGACATGACTTAGTGGGAAATACTGGTGATAGGTGGATGGTTGGACTAGATGATCTTAGAGGTCTTTTTCAACCTTGGTGATTCTATGATTCTAAAACACATCCTCCCAGTCATTTAAGTTTCAAACAAGACTGTCTGCAAAATAGAATAAAATTTTCCAGTTATCAGTTTTGCTTGGCAAGGTTGCTAAAAGAGATTCGGCCATGATCCTCCAACTGTGTCTACATTTTATGGTTGCTTTATTTATATTTATCTGATTTTTTTTTCTTCTTAAATTTGATGGGTAACGTTGTATCAGATTTTCATATTACCATTGTCCTTATATCTTCTGTTGGCAGTAAAACAATGCATCAAACAAATGGCAATGCCTTTGAAAATAAACCACACAAATGCCTTTAAAGCCAAAATTACAAAGGCGGTGGCAATACCATGAGCAGCTGCACAGAAACCCCACTGGACACTTTATCTCTTAATCTATGTTGGAGCTTTCCCATAATGTCTATCTGGTCAGGATGAAAAGAAGCATCACTGACCCTCATGAGAGCAAGCAAGACATGACTGCTTCCTATTCCCACTTAAAGTTAAAAGAGAATTTGTTTAGCTTTAATTTACATTAAAAAATATGTATCATTATTTCTCTAGTGGGAGAGATTGCCTTCTGGCAGACCAGGGATGTGTAAAAGAGACCTAGATTTAGACTAGATACTAGGAAGAAATTCCTTACTGCGAGGGTGGTGAGACACTGGAACAGGTTGCCCAGTGAGGTTGTGAATGCTCCCAACTTGGAAGCATTCAAGGCCAGCTGGATGGGGCTATGAGCAGCCTGGTCTAGAGGGAGGTGTCCCTGCCTATAGCACAGGGTTGGAACTAGATGATCTTCAAGGTCCCTTCCAACCCAAACCATTCTATGATCCATCTGCACGCGGCCATGCCCTGCACACAAGGACTGGGAGCAGGGCTGGTGAAGCGGACTTAGTGTCAGCAGATGGGGCTTGGAAGGAAGGCAAGGTCCTGCCTGGCATGGGGTCAAAGGAGCAAGAGGATTCCTATAGACCTCTGGGAAAGCCTAGTGAGCAGTACCCTACAGGGCTGTGAGAGGGCAACCTCCTCTTCCAGGGCATGAATGAAAGACAGCCAAGCTGCTGGTTGAAATGCTGATGGAAATGTTGCTGATGGAAATGTGGTTGGTTGCAGGCAAGAGAAACTGCAGCATCCAGGTCTTTCAAAAACAACAGCACCCTGGGAGAGCACTGCACAAAAATACATGTGCAGTGGAGTAGTACATGTACACCCACCACTTGGGAGGCACTGAGCTGTAAGTGCTGTGAGCAATCCTGGCTCTGGGCAGCCTGGTCAAGTGGTTGGTGACCCTGCCCAGAGCAGGGGGTTGAAACTAGATGATCTTTGAGTTCCTTTTCAACCCAGGCCATTCTATGATTCTATGATGATTTTATGAACCTACTTTCTCAAAAGAGATGGAGAGATGCTGACAACTAGAGACATAAGTAGGAAAAATATCTTTAAAAAAGTATGCATCTCATCAATGAGCAAAATACAAGTCTTCATGTGCAAGCTGCATTGTACTCTTAGAAGTTAGGACCATCTAACTGCAAAGAAAAGAATAAAACGGTGAACAAAATTCTGCCCCATCTGTTACAAAACACAAGCACAGACATGAAGGTACAAGCTAGAGCTTCAGGGAGGTGGCAAATGCAGCCTCTCACAAACCCAAAGCACTCAGCCACCCAGCTCGAATGGTTTGTAGTTTCTTGGCAGACACAAAACATTCTCTCTCCCAACTTAAAGGAAACCACCTACGTCTTCATCAGGATCCTCCAGTTCTTCCGCTTCTTGCTCAGGGCTGATCCTTCCTTCCCTCCATTTCCCATTGGCAGAGCTGAGTTTGTACAAGTTACCACCATGAAAACCTTCCTTTCCTTTTAATGAGGTCCAGCGAGAGCCCTGGGAGCTCCAGTTATGGCCACTGCACAGCTTAGGAGACTTGGGAAGCCACTTAATAGAGTCCTGACAAGAAGAGGACAGAAAAAAAGAAAAAATGGACATTGTACTGATTTTAAGAAAATCACAGAAGTACATACATGCAGAAATTGTCTGGAAACTTCTGCAAGGTATTTAAGTATCTTGTTCAAACTGGGTCTCCCCTTTTTACCTTGGGATAAACCTTCAGTCCTAGAGACACTTTGCCAGTTACAAGGCAATACCGGTGATAAAAGGAGCAAACAAAGGCTGCTGACATGAGAGGAAGCCTTCAGAGACTCAAATGAGTGTGGAGCCAAGCTCAATTCCAGCATCGTAAAGAATTACATAATGAACAACAGTCTTCAATAATGCTACACCCTGCACTATGAAGAATACAAACAAGAATACTTAGACATTTTGTGACTTTCATCTCATGCCCTGGAGTTTAAAAAAATTAAAAGCAAAACCACAGCAAACGACCAAGGTCACTCCCCTCCTTTTACACTACTGATTAAATAAAGCGTGCTGTTTCTTGAGTGGTCTCAATCAAAAGCAGAACCCTAAATTGATGCATTAAAGTTGCTGATTTTCAAATTATAGTCCAGTTTTCCTCAAATATCAATTATTTATTTATATCCAGAAAACCCACTCCTCTCTGCTTCATATTGGGTTTATACACATCAAGTTGTATACACCTTAACTTCACTGAACTTCAGAAATCGTTTTTCACAATAATGCTTTGCTTTCTTTGAAGCATTAAACTTGCTTTTCAATTTCCTCAAGGTGATACAAATCCAGCAGCAGAAAGCATCCTGATACCATATCAACAGCACCATTAGCACACATGCTTCACCAAGGCAAAGAGATGGAGAAAACAAACTAATTAAGAGAGTTGTCAACGAGCTTATGGTAGGGCAATCAGAACACAGTGAACAAGTAACTGAATCGGATCTAACACTTCTCTAAGCCTCAATTTTTCCCCTTTTAAATACAAAATGGTTACATTCACAGAAACACAGATTTCTTGCTGTTATCGGCACCTCAGACGTCACAACCTCTACAAGATCTATGGCTGAGAAAGGCAGATAGGACAAGGCTGTCTGTGCTGGACATGCTGATCCATCCTCAGCTTCCAAAGCAGTTCCCGTTAGGACTCTTCTTTCACTTTTGGGTCTGGCACGGCTAAAAAAAGTAGGAAATGGAATAGCACAATGTCCCAGTGTCTCTTTGGAAACAATTACAGATTCCTCTGTGAATTTTGAAAAGATCACAGCTCAGACAAAGGATTATTTGCATTTACATTGAATCAGTGATCAGCATCTGTAAGAAATTTGCTGTTAACTCGTATTTCATCAGAGAATGGAATGCAAGAGCCAGCACAAACAATCATGAAATGTTAATGACTCCCATTCCTGCCAATCACTGAGCAGGATATCTCATGGCATTTCTTTATATTTGCCTTGAGCAAGTAAACACAGAATACCACTAAACAGAAACTTTGCTTCCCATGAATATTAACTAGGAGCATAGAAATTCTAATCAGATCATGAAACAGCATCCTAACTGAAATTGTTTGCTATTGTTTCACAGAATCACAGAATCGTATGGGCTGGAAGGGACCTCCAGAGATCATCGAGTCCAACCCTATGCCAAAGCAGGCTCCCTACACTAGGCTGCACAGGGTGGCATCCAGGCAGGTCTTGAATGTCTCCATAGAAGGAGACTCCACAACCTCCCTGGGCAGCCTGTTCCAGTGCTACGTCACCCTCACTGTGAAGAAATTCTTTCACTTTGTTTAATTTCAAGATAGTTACTGTGACACCTCCTAGCACTCAGTATATTGCCGTAAACAGCTTAAGCCCTTGTCAACTTTGAAGCTCATCAGAAAGGCATAAAATGATTTCACTCCAAATTTAAATACAGGTACGTGTGCAGTAGAAATTGCAACAGTTCAGCTACTACATACTAGATTCACACTCCAAAAATACAAGTATCTTAAATATATATATACAGTGCAGTAATTTCTTAGCTCAATCTTTATTTGAGTGAATAGTCTAGGACCATGCTTTGTGGCAAATATCTGAAGAGAGGAAAAATCAGTTCTCCTTACACACCTTAGAGGTGTTCATTGGTCTTCTCACTACCCAGGTAAAAGCAGGAAGTTTCTTCTTGTGTTTTATAAACAAGGAAGATGAGAACCAAAAGAATTTAAAGGTCAGTGTCTTAAGTCATGGTGTTTACTCTTACATTCTCTTTAAAAATAAAACAAAAGGGGAAGAGGAATATAATTCTTTTTGCTTCTTGGATACTTGGGCTGTGTTAAACGCTGGTTTTGCAGATCTAGAAGAAATGCTTGGGGAAAAAAGTATGTATGCCTCAGCATTTGTTACATTACATGGAAATATATTTTCCATTTCTTTTCATCAGTAACGACCCTTTCTTATTGGTAAACAGCTCATTTCCCTGTGATATTTAACAATTATTAATTATAATTATGTACTTAACAACAAAGCAAGTCAGATGGGCTCCCTTTTCGCCTCCTTCCCACCTGTTTTTCATGTTTTCCAAGGCAGCCTCTTCAGAACATAAATATTCCTCTGTACATACCCCTGGAGGTTAAGAGGACAAATTGTTCTCATAAAGTACAAGGTGTCCAGTCTGATAAGATCTTGCTAATAAATCCTCTACAGAATGAATTTCCTTCAGGCAACAAAGGTTTGCAAAGTCTGTGTATAACCTTAAATCATTCTGTCAAATGAAAAAGAATCTAAAACACCCTAACATTAAAAGACAAGAAATGAAAACCACCCACATTTCTTAAGTAGCATACCTACATTGATAAAGAAACAGTATGCTCACAGCAATAACCCAGTAACCAACTGCAAGTAGAAACCAATGTAAAACTGCTGGAGCTTTCAGTAAACTAGAATATTTTCATAGTAATACACCTGGGGTTTCAACTGAAAACCCTATAAACCTTGTCCAGAAACACTTTAAGTGATTAGTAAAAATGGGAAAGGGAATGTCTTTAAAGATGAATTTCCAACAACAGTAAAAAAAACACTGTTTTTCTTTGAAGTACATTACATAAGATTCAGTATTCTATTCATTGGAAAATATTTCAGAATCATTCCCTCTTCAAATTACAAAGAGCTAAAAGAGCTTTGTGTGATTCATATGAAAGGCAAATGAAAGCTAACCAAAATGCTGTAGAAACAAAGGCATACTTAACATGCTGCCTGAACAGGTTACTGAAGCAAGCCTTCAACAGGCAAACTTTGCTAGCAGCAAATACATGACTTAACTTTGAATTTAGATGTTCAAGTACTAATTAGCTTCAATCTCTCAATTTCCTATAGACAACTTTAAAAAAAAAAAAAAAAGTTGTAGGTTATGCTGAAAGCATCCACTGCGCAAATTCCCTTCCGACTCACAGACTTCTCCCCTTCTGAATAGCTACAGATGATCCGTAATATCCAAATAAACACTTTCTGTTGATTCAGCTTTAGTTTTGATTTTATGTTGCTTGGTGAAGAACGTAATGCCATCAATGAACTGCGCGTGCAAAGAAATTCACTCATGTTTATAACCTTGTAGTGCTTTACTTAATATTCCAGAAATCCAGGACAATCGTATCTGCTATAAGCAATTTCAAAATGATTTAATGCAGGCCATTTATTCTGGGTTTGTCTGGAAAGTTACTGGGAGGGACCAGAGAGAATTAAACTATTTGCATCAGTAGCACAGTCCGGTAATTTGCTCAAGGAGCAAAAGGAGGTAGTTTTAGTCTGACATCAAACTAACTTTTAAGTATTAAGTCCTATCTCTGTGCTATTCTGGGGATGCTCACAAACAGAAATTCAAGCTGCTGATGATTTGGTGGCATTCACAAGCTGTGTGTGCACCCATGGATTCTGAGTAAAGTCACTACAGTCAGTACTTGTCCATGTTCACTGCAGAGGAGATGGACTAGACATCCCTTGAAAGTCTCTTCCAACTCCAATAATTCTATGATTCTACAAACTTACTTATCTAGAGAGTGTTTGTTTTGATTGTGGTTACCATGCCTTCAGCTCATAACCCAGATATTTCAGTCAAAGACACATGTACCCCTATGCATCCTGCTGTTCCAGATTCCAAGGCTGGCCATGCTGTTGACTCTAGTGATAAAATGCATCACGTCTCCAACATCTACCAGAAAAGCAGATAAGACGGCTCCTGCAAAGCAGCCCTCAAAACAAGTGCCTGCATATCCACTCTGGAAACCTCACATTTTTCATTAAACTGGTTGAAATCTGAGTATTCTGCTGAATTCAGAACAAAAGAGGAAGGCAATATCCCTCTGATAAGGTCATAAATGGCTTGGGAGGAAGGGAACACCCAAAACATTTGATAACCAAGGCCAATTCACTTTTCTCATCTTCTCTGACAGTAATCTAAGCACAGAAACAGACTTGTGCAGTTGACAGAAATAGAAGGTGGGAAACATTCTCACCAAGACAACTGAAAATAATCAAAATAATGCTATTTCCCAGATGCAAGGCAAAGAAAGGCAGTGAAATCTCCATTTACAAGAGGTCTACATATTTCTTATAATAGTGCACACCAGTCTCAGTGGGAGGTACACGATTCACAGCTAACCATATATTCAACATTCAGGCTATATCAACTGACATACTAAAGAGTATACTTCACAGAAATTTAGTTCTTGGTATCATTACTTTCAAAAGCTGAATTCATGAGCATCAAGTAGTGAAACATGCTGAATAGCTAAACAGCAAAAAATAGTTCTCTCAGCACAGGTAAAAGCACTCCCCGTTAGACAAGGAGCAGCCTGATCAGCTTGTCCTGAACACAAGCAAGTAATTTCTTGGGGAAAAAAAACATCAACATGCAAGTTTCCAGTACCCACTTCACAACCACACACTGCTTATCAAAAAAATGGAATGCAAGCTAGAAAAATAATCTTGACATATAAATTATATAGTAACTGTGAAAAACACCTGCAGCAAGAAAATGGAAAAAGGGGATGGAAAAATCTTGCTACACCAACTATTGCTTTCGCTTTTCTAAGCTTATGGAATTGTAACTTTCAATAAAAACAGGTTAATATTAAATCCACTCCACCACTATGGTCAATTGGTTTTCCCTCGTTAACCATCTAGCTAATAGCTGCATGCAAATAATGCAGTGTTTCTTTCCTTGCATTAAACCACCTCCCAAAATGGCTTACAAGGCAATTGAAAGAGTAGAGGAAGTTATGAAGAGGGGGGAAAAACAAAAAAAAAAACCAACTTAAAAAATATGTTCACTATTCAGGCTCCCAAAAGCATCAGCAAGACTAAAGAAGGCCAGACAGAGAGCCTAGAAAGGGAAAGCTCCTGTTTTCAAAGACAGATTCTCAAACTCTCTCAGCACCAGGTTTTTATGCCTAAAATAGGGTTAAAATTGCATGGAACTGTATCAGCACTTTGGGAGTACAAGTGTACCTAATACTCTTTATAAAATGTCATGTATGCAGACCATTTGAGAAATCACAGGAATCCACTCATCTGGGCTACCAGCATGTTCAATGGGTAGAATGATATGCAACCCCTCCTTTTATGATGAACCCAGTGAGAACCCAACATTTAGGTTTGGTGCAAAGAGAAGGTAGCCATTTGCCACTGTTTGGACAGGGAATGCATTCTTCCACCTACCAAAAAAAAAAAAAGACACTCCTTTTGGAATAGTAGTAGGGTCGTCTCACAGTAGACATCAGCTCCTATAATCTCTAGATGAATCACATTTTGAGCTAACTTCATGTTCTTTAACGAATCAATGGAAGAAAAGAAACACCTTCGATAAGCAACTCAGATCACCTATCTTCGGCTTGGATGACCACAGGGAGACTAGACTGCTCATCCAGCTTCTAGATGGCTAGGATGAAATTACATGAAACCATTCCAAATGAAAGCAACAGGTCTGGATCCCTCGTTCACTGCTGTCCTTTTACATTTAGCTAACATGGCAGAAAAACTGAAACAAATATTTCTCCCATTACTCAAAAGAAAAGTAAAAAGACTCTAAGACAATTACTTCATATCAGAGTTAAGACAGCAAGTACTGCCTGCTTCCCAACTAGCTTTTGGGTTGCAGAACTGTTTCCACAAGCCTTCCAGAGCATGCAAAAAGCAATTACCTAACAGAATAGAATAGTTCAGTTGGAAGAAACCTTCAAGAGATCATCTAGTACAGCTGCCTGACCACTTGAGGACTGAACAAAAGTTAAGCCTCATTTCTCCGCCTCTTTAGAGGGACTCAAGGCCCATTTTTTAAAATAAAACAATGACAAAGCAACTATCATAAAGCTATTACAAGGTTTATGGATAATTCTCACTTCATCAGGGGGAGTAGGTACATGGTTTAAATGCCGTAAATCATAGAATCTCATAATCACCAAGGTAAGGTTGGAAAAGACCCCCAAGATCATCCAAGTTCAACCATTCATCTAACACCAATACTTCTCCATGTCCCTCAATACAACATCTAAACGTTTCTTGAACACCTCCTGGGATGGTGACTCCATCACCTCCCCAGACAGCCTG